CTGAGATCACATCTGCCAGTTCCTTGAGAACCTTGGGGTGTAATCCATCTGGTCCTGGTGATTTGAACTCATCTAGGCTGGACAGGTGCTCACTTACCATTTTCTTGCCTATCTTAACTTGTATTTCTATTTTGTTTTTTATGGCACTATTTTTGATAGGTTGGTCTGTTTTTTCCCTTTGTGTAAAGGCAGGTGCAAAAAAGGAGTTAAATAGTTCCGTTTTCTCCCTGTTGCTTGTCACGTTCTTGCCACTTTCACCCACTAATGGACCAATCGTTTCCTTCACTTTTTTCTTGTTCTTTACATGTTGAAAGAAGCTTTTTTTGTTATTTTTGAATTTGGTTGCAAGCCTTAGTTCATTTTGCTGAAATTCTGACTTAGTTATGTGTCCCTCTTTCCACTTTATATACTTGTCCTTTTTATCTTTTAATTGATCAGAGAGTTCTTTATGCAGCCATGCTGGTTTATTTTGAGAGCTGTTATTTTTCCTCTTTGTTGTTATTGTGCTAGACTGGGCCTTTATTATCTCACTTTTCAAAATTTCTCAAGCCTCTTGAGTTGTTTTCCCCTGGAGGATTCTCATCCATGGAATCCTTCCCAAACCCTCTCTAAGTTTATTGAAATTAGCTCTCTTGAAGTCCAAGACTCTAGTTTGACTGTGTTTTATTGCTTGTGCTTCCATAATGTTGAATTCCAATATTGCATGATCACTTCCTCCCAAGGTTCCTTTGGCTTCAACACCTTCTATCATTTCATCTCTGTTAGTGAGGATTAGATCCAATATGGCTAATCCCCTAGTTCCCTTCTCTACTTTTTGGGAGACAAAGTTGTTTGCTAGGTTTGTCAGGAATCTGTTTGATCTTCCACTTGATCTTCCAATGAAGGGAAACAGGAGGAGAATAGACCTAAAGAAATTAAAGAGGCTAGACCGATAAGATTGTTAGTGGAAAGAGGGAAGGATTTACAAACTCAAGAGTCTAGACCGGCAATAGTAACCAGATCCAAACATAGATAAGGAGGGGAAAAAAGGTGTTGAATCCATGTCTATCAATGTTAATGGCCTCAACTTTCCAACAAAAAGGAAAACGTTTTTAAATAGGCTTAATAAGATGAACTTAGATGTAATTATGCTACAAGAAGTTCATATTAAAAAACAACATCAATATTTATTAAACTGCCCTAAATTGGGGGACATGTTTGTGGCACTTTCGCAATACAAGAAAGGAGGAGTGGTAGTATATATTAAATAAGAAATTTTGGCTAAGCAAATTTATAAGGATGAAGATGGTAGAATCTTAATAGTGGAAGTAATTTTGAATAAAATTAAAATTCTCCTGGTGGCAATTTATGCCCCGAATGAGGGGCAAAAACAATTTTATAAGAAACTTCACAACATTATTAATCAATTGGAATATGGTAACATCTGTATAATTACAACGCAATTGTGGATAGAAACCTAGATTATAAATGTGGAAAGAGTAGAAAAAGAACCACAGGAACAATACCTGATACATTCCTAAAAATGGCAGATGAGCTCAATATTCAGGATACATGGAGAAAAAGGAATTTAGGGAAAAAACAGTTTACCTTCTACTCTGGACGTCATCAATCATGGTCTAGAACTGGTATGGTGTGGATGTCAACTGACTTAAATTTAGAAGTAGAGGAGACTGTAATTGATACGAACTCCTGGGCTGACCATAATCCAATTAGAATTAGATGGAAAGGGCAAAAAAATATGAGGAGATGGACTCTGAAAAAAGCAATCCTAAAACATAAAGAATTCAAATTGAAATTGGAAGAACAATTGGACCTGTTTTTTAAGACAAATAAGAAGAAGATACGAATTGCCAAAACTTACGGGATACAGCCAAAACCTACATGAGAGGCGTTGCAATTTCTTACATGGCTAGGGAACACAAAATCAAAACACAACGACAAAGACACTTAGAAAAAGAACTAAGTAGAGTTGAGGAAAACTTGCAAAAGGAACCACAAAGACACGATTTGAAACAACAGATAGACTTAATTAAGCATAAGATGAATATTATTGGGAAGGAAGAATTAGGACAGCAGATAAAACGTACTAAACAAAATTTCTTCGAAAATGCCAATAAACCAGGGAGGTGACTGGCTTATAAAATTAAAAAACACAACAACAAGCAGAGGATTACTAAATTTTATAATGCAGAAGGTGATATGGTGTATCAGAATGAAAGAAATTAGTAAAGAAATTAGTGGCATATGAGTTCTACAAGAATTTATACAAAGATGATGAAGGGAGAAATAATTATGACATTGTACAGTATTTACAATCAGCTGATCTACCGAAGGTGCCAGAAGAATTTAAAATTCTGCTGAATAAACTTTAGAACTTTTGGAGGCAATCAAGAAACAAAAAAATAATAAAACATCTGGGCCAGATGGTATACCTGTAGAAATGTATAAAATCGCACAAGAATCTCTAAGCCCAATGTTGTTGGATCTATTCAATGAGGTTCTAACAAAAGCTAAAATACCAGCCTCATGGGAAGAAGCTCTCCTCACTTTGATTCCTAAGGAAAATTCAGACCTGGCGCATATTAAGAACTATAGACCCATTTCTTTATTAAATTCGGATTATAAGATTTTCATGGCTATAATGGCGCAAAGACTCGAAAGATTTTTAGCGGATTTTATACATTCTGATCAAAATGGCTTTTTATCTAAAAGATACATAAGAAATAATGTCAGGATCATTTTGGACATATTGGAGTATTATGAAGTGCATAACAAAAAGCAAATGGGTTTAATTTTTCTTGACGCACAAAAAGCATTCGACAATGTGAAATGGGATTTTATGTTCAACCAATTATTGTATATGGATTTTGGGGAAAACTTTTTAAATATGTTTAAATCAGTTTATTCTAAACAGGCAGCAAAAGTAATAATTAATGGAGAAATGACCGACAGCTTTCAAATTCAAAAAGGCACGAGGCAAGGTTGTCCGTTATCACTACTGTTGTTTATATTATCTCTTGAGGTATTAATCAGAGTAATTCGGCAAGATGAACAGATTAAAGGTCTAGAGATCAAGAAAGAAATGTTTAAAACACAAGCCTTTGTAGACGATTTAGTTTTTATAATAGAAGAACCATTACAATCGGGATAAGATTGATGGAAATACTGAGTAAATATGGGGAAATAGCAGGTCTGAAGATAAATAAAGAAAAAACTAAAATGTTCGTCAAAAATACAGAAAAATGAATTGGTTGACAGAATAGCTTTTCAAATCACGAACAAAATAAGATATCTAGAGATACAACTAACTGCTAGATGCGTTACACTCAAAAGATATAACTATGATAAGTTAATTGAACAGATTAAAAAGGATTTAGATATTTGGACCAACCTGCAGCTCTCCCTTATGGGCAGAATTGCGGTAATTAAAATGAATGTGTTACCGAAAATTTTATTTTTGTTCCAATGTATACCCATAAAATTGGACAAGAAATTCATCTGGTGAGGAAAAAGAACAGGATTCAAAGGAAAGGGGGGGATTTGGCCTCCCTGACCTGGAAAAATATTATCAGGCCATAGTATTATTATGGGTAAGGGATTGGATATTACTAAAGAACAGGAGATTATTATGTCTGGAAAGTCATGACTTACAAATAGGATGGCACGCTATGTTATGGAATCATAAATACAAGACACACAAATATTTTCGAAGGCATTATATCAGACAAGCTCTAATTGATGTATGGGTTAAAATCTGGCAACCAAATTATACTCAAGTCCCTAGTTGGATCTCATCGTTAGAAATGCATGTTCATCCAAAGTTTATCCAACTGGGAAAGATTATAACATATAAAAATGTCCTAGACGAGAGAGGGGAATTGAAACCCAGGAAAATTCTTCAAGACGAAGGGATAGAATTAGAATGGTGGGCATATCTTCAATTAAAGGCGAGATGTTGGAAAGATAAAAAAGAGTTAGGCATAAAATTAGAACTGATAGGGCTGGATAAATACGGAGGATAAAATGATTAAAAAACTATATCATTATTTGTTAGATCAGGCAATGTATGAGGAACAGGTAAAAGAGACTATGTTAAAGTGGAGTAGGGATTTTGATCTCAACTTTGATCTGCACATCTGGCAAGAACTATGGGTAAGAAACAGGAAGCTCACTCTGGCCACCTCCTATAAAGAAAATCTCTACAAAATGCTCTATAGATGGCATCTCCCACCCATAAGATTAGCTAAAATGGGTTCAAATGCTTCTTCCAAATGTCGGAAATGTAAATTGGCAACTGGGACATACTATCATATGTGGTGGGAGTCCCCACGATCCCGTGACTTTTGGAATAAGGTTAAAAAATGGCTGGAAGAAATTTTAATGCCAGGGTAGAGTTAAAACCAGAACTCTTTCTATTAGGCATAACCATGCAGAAATACAACAAAGGGGTATTCTATCTGATGTTACACATTCTCACGGCTGCTAGATTGGTATACGCTCAAAACTGGAGGAATAAAGGAATTCCAACAAAAGAAGAGATTTTATATAAAATTTTATCATGTGCTGAAATGGATAGGCTCACAATGGAAATGAAGGTTAAGACAGAATCAGACTACTTTGAAATCTGGGACAAATTTTATTACTGGTATGAATTAAGGAGAACTGCTAAGGCTTCAAACTACTGTTAAGACAGAAATATATATAACTGTATATATAATTATATTGTATAGAAGAATAAGTTTATTTAGAGATTAAGAATGATGTATTAATTATATGTATTAAGAGGAACAAATTGTTAGGAATATTTATTCTGGAATGTCACGTTATGTCCATTTTTGTTTTAATTGTATTATAAATAAAAAACTTTACTTCTTATAACTTTACTTCATCTACTAATTAGGTACATGTTTCAATGTTCTGAGAGGGTGGGTTGACACTGCAACTCAGACCAGGTCTCAATAGTTACACTCAGTCATCCACAATGACACTATTGTACTTACAATCAGGTGACCCTGTGTATATGAGCAGGTTTCTTAGTGAATGGGATGAATGGATGAGATCTGGGCTCAGAGAGGAGATAGCTTCAAAGTTCAGGCATGGAAGGCCTGACTTGGCAACGAAGGCACCCGTCTGCGTAATCTCATTCTCCTCAGACTTCTGTTTTTCAGTTGTCTTGGGTTTCTTTCTAAAAGGAAACAAAGAGACTTCTGAGGGTAGCAGTTACCTACACTATGCAGGAAAGAGAATAACTGTGCATTATTGTTTGTTTTCCTTTCAGAACAAGTTTTATTGTTTGAAGTTTTTCTAATCTGTTTTCAATGCTGGTTGTTAATGCTTACAGGAGCTATGTCTGCAAGCAAGCTGATTGGGGAAAGGTGGTTTGTTTGCCCCTACAGCCACTGGGCATTAGAGAGGCATGCATAATGGCTAATTTGATTCTTGTAGTGGAATTAAACATTTTGACCAATTCAGTTCATTGTGTTTTTGGGTTTTCTCATGGTAGAGATCACTGTTTTCCTCATCTCAACTCTTTTCTTCTGTAACCTATTTTTATCCTAAGCTAATTTATTGTCTATGATGGAAAAGAAAAGTGAATTAATGTACGAGACTCTTAAAACAATAACATTCCAAATGGGACCTAAGCCATTTCAAAGCCAATATTAAAATCACGTTGTTACAATTTTCCAGAAATTAGGGCAAACTTTCTGGAAAGTCATGTCTTATTTAAGCTCTAAATATTCCAAGTTGGTATTTCAAGCTTAGGATGTTTTGCATGCTTCACAAAAATAATACTGTTTAGAATGAACAGTGAAGCTAATGACCTCAATATCTATGTTAAGTTTATTAACTCTGTACAGATAAACACTAATATAATAGTGGACAAGAATCTTAAAAAGTGGACAAAAGTTAAAATAGATCTCTTGTGTACAGAGAAGTAAAAAAATAGTTTTGAGAAAATAGAACTATTTAGGGGCTATTTAGCATACCTTTGAATTATACACATAAACATAAGTACACATTATATTAAGTATTGTATTTAACATTAAAATAAGATAGAATTGTTGAAACAAAATCTGGATTTTCTTTATTATAACTAAGAACATATTCAATAAAATAACAAATCTATTTTTTATTTCCTACCTTTCTTCCGCCTCCCCCAAAGATTTTTCGCAGGAAAAAAAAAGATTTACAAAGTAATTCTGTATTCTCATGGAATCAGAAATGAAGAAATAGGCAGAAAAACACATTATAGTATAACAAAGGGCAAGCCACTTTGCTATTAATCAAGAACATTGTCTCTGGTTATATAAAAGAATTATATAAGCTTGGTATGGCAAGAAAGAACACAGCACATGAAAGTTCTTGTGAAACCATGATGGCTGACACTTATAAAAAATAGCCTCCAGAGGGCAGCAGGCGACCAGCTGGTTTCAGACTAGTTAATTTCAGAACTTCAGATTTTTGCTCCAAGCAACCCCTTTAAAGAATCTTTCTCATTAAGAATTAAAATTACACAATTCAATGAAATTTTTGCTCAGTTAGAAAATAGAAACTGAACTGAGACTAATTGGCAGATATGAATCTCTTTTCTTCTTTCTTTCCTTAAAAATCATGGTATACAAGAATCTACAAGGTAAATAAATATGTTGATTGACCATACTTAAAAACTACTAACAAACCCATGGTGACAGGATCACTAGGCAATATTGAATCCTATCATAGTTAAATTATCTTTGAATTCTAACGTCATCACTTTGAATCTTTTTTGAAGCTAACATTTTTTTCTTAAAATGTTAAGAAAATGTTAATGGTTATAGATATAAATGGACCCAAACAAAGTAAATCTATTCCCCACCTTTTTTGTCACTGGCATCTTACAGATTATGAAGTGTATTCTCATAACAATCTCGATTATGGAATATAACCTAGTTAAGAAGATCTATAAAACTGCAATATTGTTCACAAAATTTTACCATATAATTAAGGTAAAGGTTATGTTTTTCCTTGTCCAGTTGTGTCTAACTCGAGGGGTTGGTGCTTATCTCCATTTCCTAGTTGAGGAAGCCAGTGCTATCCAAAAATGCTTCAATGGTCATGTGGCTGCATGACTATAAGCTGAGGAATGCTGTTACCTTCACACTGAAGTTGTGCCTATTTTTCTACTTGCATTTGCGTATTTTTGAATTGCTAAATTGGCAGGAGCTGGGGCAAGAATGGGAGTTCACCCTGTTCAGGTGAGTTCAGGTCTTGAACTGCTAACCTTTTGGTCAAAATGCCCAGCATCTTAACTGCTGGGCCACCATACCTCCTACCAGACAATGAAATATTACCAAATTATGAATTATTTTTTGCAACAGACTAACTACTCTCCCCTCTGAAATTAGTTGTCACAGGAGAGGGTGAATTTTACCTTGGTGAGCAACTTCTGTCTCTTCTTCAAAAGCAGTCTTGCTAGTAAGCAAGCAGGTGATGACATGCAAAGGAGGAGGAAAAACAGACCTGAGGACAGCAAGAGTCTGCCAAAATTTATAGCCATCATAGTTAAAAACTCACCATAATCAAAGGCCCTTCAAGATCCATCCCTAGGCCTATTCTCCAACACTATAAAATTATTTCTTCTTATCTTTCTTGTGCTTAAGATCTTAATAAGGAAGAATTTTTTCCTAGATGTTTTTGCACAATCCTTTTGAAGGATCAGGTTAATTTAATCCTATTGAAAGAGCATGCTGCATGACAATGAAATTATTATTTACTGCAGTTTTATATTGTTTTAAGTTTGTTGCTATTGGTTAATAACTCAGTCCCTTTGGTTAGGTTGGATAGGCATATAAATATAAATAGCTAGTCACAAATAAATAGTTAACGCCTGAACTTTATAACAAGGTTATTTAAGTGTTAGCTTCCAAACTACTTTCTGCATCTTACACATTAATAAGTTATGTTCCCAAAATATTTGCAAAAATCAATGTTCTTATATTTATTAATTATAATTTGACTAAAAGGATACAGTTGTGGTTAAAGCAACATTTTATTTTCAGTTTTGAGTTGCTGTTGTAGCAAAATCCATGAAAGTCATAATTTTTCATTCTAAAAAATGGATGCATTCTATTTTTTAGTCTTTCCTCACCTTGCCACTTGTAAAATAGCATATATTTTTATGGATTAAGTATTAGAATAAAATCTGGGGTCCGATAATCTAGAGCAGGGCGTTTCAACCAATGGTACGGGTACCACCTGTGGTACATTGGCACCTGGTAGGTGGTACACGACCATCCTAGAAAAGTAGCGGGGGAGGGGAATGAGCTGAACCAGTGGCAGCACCGTACAAGCCTGAGCGAGAGATGGCTGCAGATGCAGGGCTGTCAGGGCTCAATGGAAGCGCCAGGATCAGTGCCACTTTCCAGCTGATCGGCGCTTCTTTGGGGCTGTCAGGGCTCAGTGGAAGCGCCAGGATCAGCACCAGCCTCCAGCTGGAGCTCAGCGCTGATCCTGGTGCTTCTGCTGACCCCGAAGCACAAATCAGCTAGAAAGCAGCACTGATCCTGGTGCTTCTGCTGAGCCCAGAAGAAGCCCCAATCAGCTGGAATGTTGCAGCATCTCCAAGGTCTTATGATTTACATTCGCTGCTTGACAACTGCTTCATATTTATGACGGTCACAGTGTTTCAGGGTCATGTGAAGTGACCAAAACTGCTGCAACCATCCAGCAGACTGTGGGAATAAATACCAAACACCACCCCACTCACCCCCGCTGCCAATCCTCAACAGAAATGCTCACAACAATGAAAACCTCGGACAGGAAGAAAAGCGCTGCCGTGTGGGCAGGCAGTGTCTTGCTCGGCTTGCCTTGGGGGGGTACTTTTTCAGTGCCATTATAACTTAAAGCAACCACTAAGCCAACTGTTGTAAGTCGAGGACTACCTGTACTTTATCATTTTTTCCCTTTTTTTTTTTTTGGTCATCAAGTTTTTGACACCTTGCTAGGTGACTGGTATTTCTCGGATGTTGCCATATCCTAAAAGTGGTACAATGGGTGAAAAGGTTGAAAAGCCCAGATCTAGAGAGCTACGTTTTTATTTCAGGAACACCATTATTTCTAGAACGTTTTCTTTTAAAACTTTTACCAGTATGTGGGAAATGAAAACACAACAGACTGTGCAAGTTCTGCTAGCCATGGCAATCAAACATCCCAAAAAATCTGCCAGGCTATCCCACTTTCTTTACACGGGTGATCTAAAGCTGAATGAAAAAACACCATTTAAAACAGAAGCACTGTTCAACATTGTCCATATGTACAGCTAAGATATTGCAATGGAGTTTAAACTGGATAAATGAGTCACTCTCAACATCAACAGAAACAGAAAACTGAAGGAATAAAGATGCCCTATGGAAATAACTTTAAGAGTCTGAATGAATTCAAGCTGGCAACATCAAGTATATTGAAGACAAGATTAAGGTTAGAAATGAATACATCATGAAAGTGAAAAAGCAAGTCCAAACTCAGTGGAGGAAATACTGCAAAAGGAATTAACTGCTGAGCCACTCCAGTCATTAGATACACAGATAAAATAGTAGACTGGACTCAAACAGAACTAAAACCCTGGATAGGAAGATCAGAAAAATGACAGTGACTCGTTCCCTTCATCCACACAGAGACATTGACAGACTCTACTTTGGATTATATATTACATCTTTCAAATATTAATTTTCAGGTCCACCATACTCCTTATTGTATCACACAGTCTTAAGATCTACTGCAAATATTTTGGGTTCTTAGCTAATAATATAGGGTTATCCCTGCCTAGAGATAATGATGACAGTGAATGATCTTTATTTTTATAACCATTGCAATATTTATATCAAATTACAGCCCCCAAATTCTGAAGAGCCATATCCTTAATTTGCTTTAATGTGCTCCTAGCAGCAATCCTGGAGAGGAATTTTTTTTAAAAAATATCCTCACATTTCTAGACTTTATTCTTATGGGCCTAGAATCAAGTAGTGTCTAACCCAGAGTTCCCCAACATTTTGGCACCGGGGACCAGTTTCATGGAAGACAATTTTTCCATGGACCAGAGTGGAGAGAGGGGTGTTTCAGGATGATTCAAGTGCATTACATTTATTGTAAATTTTCTAAATAAAGAAATAAATAATGCACTTTATTTCTATTATTATTATTACATTGTATTAGATTAGACCAGTGACTTTCTACTTCCCAAAAAGTGGGAAGAAAAAGAGACAATCCTAAACTCAGCCTTCCAGCAAACCAAACCAAAGACCCTACACGTTGAGGATGTGCTGAGAAAACCATGGCGGGGGGGGGAGAGGGAGACCAAACCAATGTGGCACTGCACCAGCCCAGCAGTCTTGGAAAAGGTGCAAGTGAGAGAGGGATCCCCTTGGAGACACAGTGCTTAAGGGGAAATGTAGCTTCTCCCTTCCTCTCTACTTCCATATAGGAGTGCACTTGGTTTGCAAACTTGGAAGAACACAAACACACACACAAATACACATACCAAATTAAACCTCGAAAAGCAGGTAGGATGTTGTCAAAACACTAGGTACCTGCAGCATCAAAACAAAAGCAAAAAAACTCCAGTTGAAGTGCAATGGAGCCCAGTGGCCTTAGAAAAGGTGCAGACGAGAGAGAGATTCCCTTGGAGATGTAGTGCTCAAGATGAAAGGTAGATTCTCCCTCCTCCTATTTGCACCCTGAGAAAAAGACATCCTCACACACACAAATCTTGGGGAGATACCCTTCCAACGAAGCTTTGGGGAAGCCCCCGGTTGCAAGCTGGGCTGGAGGGTGCTTGTCTTGCAAACTTGGAAAATTGCATGAAAGGAGTGTGAGCTGGGGTGCCAGGAGGAGGAGAGGAGGAAAGTGAGGAAGAAGAGGAAGTGAGGAAGAAGAGGAGGAGGAAGAAGAAGTAGCAGAAGGAAAAGGAAGCAGGACCAGGAGGAGGAAGCAGAAGAAGCAATAGTGGAAGAAGCAGGAGGAGAAAGAGAAGGAAGGACATGGAGTTGAGATGTTACAAGCCAGTTACAAGTGCAGCTGCTGGAGGATCTTTGCATTGAGCCAGATGGCTTTTCTCCCACCCGTGCTACATATTTTACCTGGTATATTCATAATTACACCTATATTTTCATTTTCATGCATATTCATAAGTTCTCCTTTAAAAGATCAGACTACCTTCATTCAGATATATAACATACATAAATCTATCTATATATGTTTATTAAAAGTCAACTCTGATGATGGCACAACTTTAATCAATTAATCAACCCAAATACCATTGCCTATATTCTACCAATTATACAGTACACTAACTGCTTCTTTTTAATCTGGGTTGGTAAACAAGGAATGCTGGAGAAAATATTTACCCCCCATTTACCCCCCATTTTGTCAGTCAAATTTACAATTATCTTAGATAATTGTTGAATAAATAATTCAGTGCATAAAATTACTTGCCATTGTTGATCTGGAACTCTAAAATTTAGAGTTATTTTCAAGTTAAATTATTTTATCAATTATTGTCTGCCTAGATATTGAGATGCTAAATATGTGCATTCACATACACATAGAGAGACATGGGTTCCATTCATGATGTTTTGGGATCATAACACATCAAGATTTGTATGTTTTCTTTTACAGATTTGGATTATATATGTTGCCTTATTGACTCTAATGACAATAGAGTACTTACACATCATCAGACAACCCAATTTTTATTTTTTGAGAATTAGAAAATGTTATATGAATGATAGTTTGTTGTTTTTAATCATACAAATACTTATTAAATTGATGATTTTTCATTAACTGAACATTAAGTTTGCCTTGTAAATGATTTGATATTGGCTTTCCAGCTGACCTGAAATGCCAAAACCCAACTTCATTGAACAGCAGAAATCTCATAAAATGCAACCGAAACACTATTGCAACTTTGTTTCTATATCCTTTGGTAATGCTGTAAAAATATAAGATGTAGCAAAAATCAGGTGCCACAGACAAATTTTTATTTATTTATTTTAAATGTTCGATTGGTTGTCATTTTCTTCTAAAACTTTCTTTTTCATTTCAGACACGGCCCTTGATCACCATGAAGTATCAGTAATATTTTCTATGAAATGCAAAATTAATAAAACATATTGTGATTGGCTCAAATGACCCAACTTTTGATACATGATGTATATGCTGGCTTCTAATTTCTTACCAGGTTCTAAGTATTTTTGTCCTTAAGCAGTAATATTATGCTGAGTTTACAAAATTAACTTACAGTGGTTTGTGAATTTCACTCTTCAGGTAAATCACTCCGAGCTTTGGACTTAGTGCAGACATTCATTGAGGCAGGGAAAGGAGAAAAATTGTGCCTGCACTGAAAAAGAAAGAAGGTGAAGTATGAGGGAATTGTTTATAACTTATCTGGAGAAAAGATGAACAATTAGCAAATGATTTCAAATAATTTTGATAGCAAACTGTCAAAAAACCAATATCTTCCAAAATCACTCCTCCACACTACGTAATAGAGGAGATTCAACGTGAACTGTTCAATAATGCACTAATGCAGCGGTTCTCAACCTATGGGTCGCGACCCCATTTGGGGTTGAACGACCATTTTACGGGGGTCGCCAAACAACGCGATCCGCCATTTTCCCCCTCAGGGGGCGGCGCCGCACATGCGCGCCACGCATGGAGGTGGCGCCGTGCATGCACGCCGCGTCCATGTGATGGGGTCGCCGTCACACAAACGTTGAGAAACGCTGCACTAATGGTTTATTTAGCTTTTTTTTTAAACAATATTTTATTATGGTTTATTTAGCTTTGACAGAACACTGAATTAAGGTATCATAATGGGAAAATAGCAAATTCAAACCTGGACATTATCTTAATAATGTTTTTGAATAATAATTGCAAACACAAAAAAGAAATATAAGTATTTCTTCTATTTCTTTTGTACAATTATCCTAATACAAGTATAATTTTATACATTGTCAGTTAGAATTCTTCTTATTGTCCCCTCTTAACTAAACAAAATAATAAGTCAAGACATTTTCACTATAATCAAAGATCATTAATAGTTTAAATTTTAAAAAATAGTTTAAATTTATTTTTTTTAAAAATAAATAATGCAAAGAACAATCATATAAGTGTATGATGAAATAACAGAACTTGTCAACTAAACATTATTTTATATGTGTGTAAACTGGATCAGCTTCTAGATCTATTGTTGTCTCTGCTATGAAGTCAATTATTTATTCTGTATTTTATCCATTCAAAGAAATGTTATATTTGACTATAAAAAAATTTGTATCCATTTTTAAAACATATTTGAATATTTTTTCAATATTGTTTCTAGATATTTTTAATTCCTATTAAGAACTAATATTATCACAGAAGACTCCCATTTGGCTTAACGATATCAAATTTCTGGTATTTCGGGATGCTGTTATTTGTATAGTAGAACTGTATAGTGTACTGTACAGTGGCTATAGAGAGATGTATTTTCTATGAATATCATTAATTGGTTTTTATCTGTCTTTAACATGGCAATGCTAATCACATACTGTATTAATAATGCACAATACTGTCAGAATCAAAACCAATAGTTCAGGACTCCCAGTGACATTAAAATACATACACCAACTAAAAATGCAAATTGAAGGCATAACAAGTGAGATATCCATTCTTTTTTCCTTTTCTTCTGGCAGCGGAAACTAACATGCCATCAGCTCTTGGAGGAGAACAGGACATAGGGTCTACCAAATCAGACAAACTAAAGAACTCATCTTCTTGCACATCAGGAAAGAAATTGTACTTAAAAGCATTTGTTTTATTCCAGGAAGGAATTTAAAAACAAACAAATAAACATTACACATCTTCACATATGTTTTTATTTCAGTGTTAGGTTTTTTTTTTAAATTTTCCACTTAAGGAAGACCCTTAATTTTCTTATATAACATTCAGGCCCTTGAAAAGACAGTTTCAGTTGTTTACTTTGGATTACGCATGGGGTGAGTTTGCAAAGGAATAAAGTCAGCAGAAACATTTTTGGCCTCTTATAAAGGCAAGGCTGATTAATGGCCTTTCTGCATAACTCCTCAAACTAATGCTTTGATACTTCTATTTCCCCTTTCCCTAAATTGGATGGTGACCCTTCTTTGCTTATTGGCCTCCTTTTCTGAGTTTCTCATTAATCAGACTCACTTCTATGATATGGTCTGTCATATCATATTACTTACCATGCACATAAGCATAAAGTGCATTAGACCTGAGAACACAGGAAATGCATGCTGGAAGGTGTTTAAATTTATTTTGTTTTACTGTCCTACACAAATAAACTGTAATAAATCTGCACTTAGTTAATACCACTTGCAATATTATTACAATTTATTAATAATTTTTAGTCACTCCTCATCATGACTTTTTTTCACCTCTGATATTATTCCTCATCTGCTCTAACTGACTGAGGGGGGAAAATAAGAATCTTTTTCCTCATTGCTGAGTCATCCTATGTTCTTGGAATCATGATTCATAGTTTGATAATACGTTGGCCCATAATGTAGGTAGTTCCTATGAAAAAGATAATTCCATGGTGAAAATAATTAGGAAAGGTACTAAAAGTTGCCAAAATAATAATTCTTTGAACAAATTGACAGTGCCACTATATTTGGAATGCTTCTTGTCAACTTATACAGCTTTACAAAGACATATTCACAAAGAATAAACTTAAATTGCTATTAGTTGTGACATTATCACCTGCAATAAGACTAATATGCTTTCTAGTTTTGGCTTCCAGATTCTAGATGTTATTTTCACAGTTAGTTAAAGGAGCACCAATATTTAGTAATAATTTATGGTTACAGTAAAAAGAAAACAGATCAAGAGTAATGAAGTTAAGCTCATAAAATGTTCTATACCATCTCCAAATTAACATCAAATTGGAAATTGAATGAAAAGTTAGTTCCTCTTAGTTGATGCTTGAGGAAAATATTGCCTCTACTTTATATTTCGTAAACTATGCCATAATTAATAGATTGTGTCTCCACCCAGAAAAAAATATAATACTCAATAAAAGAGGGACCAGTGTCCACCAAAAGACTATAAAAATACTTTCTTCTTGTTTTTGAACAATCTAGAAACACAATGTGTGCTTTCACACTAAACATTAATATCATCTTTCTATCTTTGTGACAGGTATCTGTGTGCATCCAAGTTTTCTGTTTCATTTTCATTTAACACAGTGGTTCTCAACCTGTGGGTCGGGACCCCATTTGGGGTCAAACGACCATTTCATGGGGATCGCCAAACCATGCTGTCCGCCATTTTTTCCTCTTTTCCCTAGCTGTCCTACTCCCTCTTATTGGTGGCCACACCCACTTGGGGGTCACCACAACACGGGGAACTGTATTATGGGGTCACGGCATTAGAAAGGTTGAGAACCACTGATTTAACAGGTTATGACATTCTATTTAGCTGAAACTTTCAAAATATAAGTTTGATTTCTACAGATCAGGCAAGAACCCAGATATTTATTCAGAAAGCTTCAAGAAAATTACTGCTTCTCTATGTGTAAAATTGATTTTAAAGTACTACGTTATCTGGCTCAGAAACCTGTAGAACTTTTTATTGTGTATTTTAACTTTCAAAGCCTTGACAGGAACAGCATCTTTAATATTGTTAATCTTGGCCGGCACTTGAGAGTTCAAATCAATTATAATCTCAATCTATATGTATCTTCTAAATTCTGAACAGAAGCCAATGACCTTTTAGTTCTTTTATTAGCATGTTCTTTAAGTTCTATTGCATCCTCAACAGAAAACTACTTTTAATATAAATTGAAAACTGTACTTTACTGATATTCTAGCTCACAAAATTCTCTTCTGTGAATTCTGGGAACTAGTGAAGCAATATTATAATATTAGGAATCTAAGAATTCTCATAATTCAACACTCCAGGACAGAAATAATGTACTACTTTTTAAAGATGCCAGTACTATTCACTCTCTCATCGGTTTTGGGATGTTTTTTGGTACAAATTTCTGCAGAGTTAGATGATGTCAAACCAAATCATGGTGAATACATGGACCTTATTAACTTATCTTTTTAGTAATCTATAGTTCTGTAATAGTGATGAATATCCCTAGTTTGGGTATAGGAACAGGGTGAAGGTTCATTCTCTGAGCTTGTGGGTTGGTTTCTGAACGTTTTGTTACCAGATTAGGTAACCTCTTCAGCAGAGTTTTGAAAAACCAACCCACAAGCTTGGAGAACGAACCTTCACCTTCAATCTGTATTTTGCTAAAGGGTAGTCTTGTAATATTTTTGATACCATCTATCCACTTTATTTTTTTTTCTCTTCTGCTTTCCTTAAACTTGTCAAACAGACAATTATTACACACACATATACAGAATGTGAAAAAATATAATCACATCCCTGAGGAACAGGACTTTCTGCTTTCTGATCATCATCTCAAAGGAACAGCCAGTCCTTTCTCTGTTGTTGTTGCCCAGGACTGATTGATTGGATCTTGTAGTTCATGGTATTTCTAATAACCATCTCCAGATTCAAAGTTCAAAGGAGTTTTATTTTCTAACTCTCTGTGTCCAGCTTTCAAAAATTTACATTACCACTGGGAAAGCTACTGTGTTAACTATTCTGATTTTTGTTGCCATAGAAATATCCTTACACTTCATAATCTTATCTATGATTTTCATTTTCTTCCTCCTTAGGATTAATCTCCTTCTTAATTCTTCAGCACAGATTATATCTTTATCTGTTCTTATTCCCAAGAAAATAATACTATGCACTATTTTCACTACTTTGTTGTCAACTGTAAGGTCACAACATACTAATTACCATTTTTCCCTGTGTACCTAATATTTATTGTTAACTCAGATGCTTTTTTCTTTTTCTATCTTTGTTTTATTGCCTTTCTTATCCTGAATAACCATGTTTTTCAATTCTTCACTGCAAAGGTTCCACAGGGAAATAATTAAGCATTCTGACACACTACTTAGTTTTAATTTATTTTATATATTGGCATGATCTACACCATCAAGATATTGCTGCTGTCCATAAAACAACCTCTTTCTTATATTTTCTTGCTCTGTTTATTACTCCTCTTATGCTAATTATTTGATTTCATGTCCTTTTGTCTTTTCTGAAATCTTTCTGTTAATCTGGTTCTTTTTTTTTTCTCAATGCCTTTCCATAAGCAAAATTTTTCCTGTATGGGGAATTAGGCCAATTATTTAGTAAACTGGCAATTTTTAATCTCCCTTCTTTGATATGGCATGATAGAATCATAAGGTTAGAAGGACTTTAGAGGTCTTCTAGTCCAACTCCCCCCCATGCAGGAATTCTCATACTATCCCA